CCTGCCTCACATTCCTGAAAAACAGTTGAATAACATGACTGACACCAACCTGACAACACCTAGACATGGCAATGCCACGGCTCTTTGAGCTCTTTAGCGTTGCCGTGGTTACATAGTTCTTGTCAACTCATTCAGTGAGAACACTGACAAATGCTGGGACACACCCTGAGGCACACCTTGAATGTCAAACAAGAATAGAAGCACAATTGTCTTTCCTTACAAAGAAAACTCCAGGAAGCATAGTTGGTGTAGAAAACAATTTTGCCCGACAGAACGATCTGACTGTGGCGATTTGGTGAACAAACAAGTGGCCTTCTGGTGGCACGGAGGAGGCTTTTTCAGACACAGAGCGAGACATGCTTGAGCTAAACGGAAAGCAGGTGACGTCCACCTATTACAGCTGACGTCTGAGGGGTGTGTCACTTGTGTCAGCTTCTGACTCTGCCTGAGAAAAACACAGAGATTAAACACCACCATTAGCCATCGTCAGCTTTTGTGCGGGTCAGGAAAATGTCTGCGGTTATGTTCGGGGTTTGATTTTATTTCGATTCTGCCAGTGGGAAGTGATGTTAAGTGGAAATGAAGAAGTCATGGGAGCTCCAGGATCTTATTCAGGCAGATTTTCTTGCTGGAAGTCATTGGCTTCTTCTGTCAGGTAAAGATCTGGTGATGATGTGTTTGTTTTGTTGGTTAAACTCAATCACAGTCTAATCTGGTTCGAGTCAAGGTTAGAAATCAAGCTTGTTCCGTTACACACAAAGATGTCTAACATACTTTATGCAAACATTTTTAAACTTCAAACTTGTTTTGTATCTAAAATTTCACTTTTATTTTTCTTTTCACCCCTTTTTTTTTTTTAGCTGAAAAACATTTTCAAACCTCCCCCTGTTGACTTTACATTTTGCTTCCAAGCAGCCAAACTTTCCTGTAGTCTTTTAACCTAATCTTGATCAATAGTTTCACTGATAGCCGGCAATGGAGGAGGCAGCGTACCAAAGAGACCATCTTATCACAAGCGGAACTGGTTTGTTCCACTTTGGAGTAAGCTGTTGGGGGAAGAATCAATTTTGTTGTGTGTTTCCTTGACTGATGAAGCCTTCCGGACCGAAGGCGAAACGTTTCAGCACAAAAAAAAGAAACTGTCCAAATGACCTGACTGAAAAATGTTGGATTGTATACCTGGATTATTGAGCATGGACTTTGTTAGTTTCACTGATAGTTTTTCAAAGGTTTTCTTTGAACTTTGGGTGCGTTTTTTTCTGTTCATTTCTTGTCCAGTCTTTGTACCTGATCAAAGACATACTGTGTGGCGTGTAGGCTAAAAAAAGAAAACCTAGAGAGGTGAAGAGTATTTGAAAGTCATGTGAGGGCTGACAAAGAACCTGAGCAATGCAGCATCTTCTGCCGTTTGTCAGTTTTCAGATAAATAGCTTTTTGAAAATGTTCTTATCAAACTGGGTTTTAGTGAGTATTTTTCATAAATCTGATTACATCATTGATATGAAGCTGCTGGTAATAAAGGAAAGACTTAAAAGCAGACCTGTGAGTCAGAGGCAAAACCAAATTCTGTTGAATAAAGACACCGAGTGCGTCAGTGGCAGGTAATCTAAAACCTAGGTGCACAAAAAGAAAAGCAAAGCCTAAAACGCACAAACCCAATTCAGGTGAAACAACAGAGAATCTGGTATTAAACAAAGTATTTTGAGGAAACCTGAACCATATACTTAAATACTTATACACAGGTGTTAGGACCAGGTGTGGCGAGAGAGCAGAAGGTCAGAAAACTAAAGAAGACGATTGAACAAACCAATTAAAAACCATAAATAGACAAAAGGCTGGCATTTCTTGAAGAATGTGTTTAAGACTGACATTACACTGTATTGATAGACTAAGCTATGGTTGTTTTGGTCAAACCTTGTAAATTAAATTATGTGCCATCGCGTGCAACACTAAACGCTGTTAAAGCTCTGAGTATATGTTGAGGATGACTCTCCGCTACTACCATCTCAAACTTTAGCCCAATTTCTGAATGGATGTAGCTATTTCTGTAATGGTTAAGGTCAATCAGCCGTGGCGGCATTCTTGACTCTAAAAGTTAATCAGTTGGAGATTTCTCTTCAATGGTTACTTTCTGAGTTTTACTCACAATCTATTCAAGAGATATTTGGCTAACAGACAGACAAACAATATGATTAAAGAACATGGCTGGATTATAAACTAATCCACAGGACAAACTCAGTGTAAAACTTGTGAACCATGACACAACTATTGAATATATTGTCTGTTTTGTGTCGGCCAACCGGGTTCATCCCTCGACTCGAGGATCCTTTTTGCTCCTGAGTGATTCGAGGGTCAGAGGTGACCTGACAAACATTTTTCTGAAGCGGTCGGAGACTGGACTGAAACTGTCAGGAAAAAACAGTTGAAGTCCAAAGAAAAAACACAGAAAGATCTTCAGGGAGTCTGAAGATCTGTTTATCAAAATAAGTTTAAAAGATTTTTTAAAAAAGCAAAAAAAAAAACAAAACTTCTGTCTCTTTGGGAAAACCATTTTTAAATGAGGATCAAGTCCAGATTTTGTTGCAGTGATTTTACTTTTCTTTCCAACTCTCATTATCACCCACTGCTAAAGGCTAAAAGACAAGAATATTTTGCCCATGCCTGTGTGTGCTTGTTTATTGTGTTAGCAAAATATTTTTGAACCACCAAGTGGATTTTATTGATACTTTCAGAAATAAATCATTGCATTTCATTGGATTTAGAGTTTATTTGTTAAAGGACGAGTGTCAAGTTTTAACAAATACCGTACACCAAAACAAATATAGTTTAGGCTAATTTGTGTCACGATCGGGTAGTGGGTGAGACCTAAAGGCAAACAGGACTCCAATGAAGACACAAAAGGGTGTTTAATTTACAAAAGGAAAATAACAAACATATAATGCTGCCAGGGCAGCGATACTACTCACATTCGTAGGAAATACTCAGAATACCAGGACGCTAGAAGACGACCGTGAAGGTGCAGCATGACACTTAATGCTCCCCTGCCTGAGACACAGGAGAGCTCAGTATATAAAGAGAAGACATTAATTAACCTAAATACAAACACCTGGAGGCTAATTAATTATGTGCACAGGGCAGGTGCAGAACCCTACAATTTGTAACGCCAGTCCATAGACGGGCCTTTAGTTACATTAAAAATGAGCAGTTTAATATACAGTTGAAAATAATAAAACATTATACTATTAAGACTATTCATAAAACATCATTAAAAAGATGGCTACGAAACTTGTTCTCCTTCAGGAACTTATTCAGCCTTTGTATAAATTGGTTCCTGTCATAAATGTACATCTGCAACCATTTCACTTCTGAAGTTAGCCCGTTTTAAGATTCAGTTCACTTCAATTCAGTTTATTTAAATACCGCCAAGTCACAACAGAAGTCATCTCAGGGCACTGAACTGAAACATTCACATATATAAAAATATTAAGTTAACACTATTTATCTGAGGAACAGACTGAATTTAACAGAATTTAATTCCATCACAGAACTCTCATCTTGAGCAAGCATGAAGGCGACAGTGGAAAGGAAAAACTCCCTCATGAGGAAGAAACCTTTAGCAGAACCAGGCTCAGTACAAGCGGCCATCTGCTTTGACCAGATGGGTTGGAGAGGAACAGGAAGGAGGAACAGATACACAATGGCAGGTCAAGAATCACATGTTAAGAAAGCAATAGTATTAAATTAAAACTATTCCATTTTAGCAAATCATTTAAGGAAATGAGGTCAGTTTGTCCTCTAGTAGTCTAAGCTTAAAGCAGCAAACAAGCCAACCCTAACTATAGGATTTATTAAAAAGGAAAGTCTTAACCCAGTCTTAAAACTGGACAATGTGTCAGCCTCACGGACAGAAACTGGAAGTTGGTTCCACAAGAGAGGAGCCTGATAACTGAAAGATCTGCCTCCCATTCTGCTTTTGGAAACTGTAGGAACCATGAGTAAACCTGTAGTCTGAGAGAGAAGTGCGCTGTTAGAAATATATGGAACAACAAGATCTGTAACATAAGATGGAGCTAGGTTGTTGAGAGCTTTGTAGGTTAGAAGTAAGATTTTGAATTCACTTCTGGACTTGACAGGGAGCCAATGGAGAGAAGCAAAAACTGGAGAGATATAATTGCGACTCCTACTGACTCCAGTTAAGACTCTGGCAGCAGAGTTTTGGATTATCTGAAGACTTTTTATAGAAGTATTTGGACACCCAGATAAACCATTGCAATAGTCCAGTCTAGACGTGACAAATGCATAAACCAGTTTTTATGCATCACTTTTAGATAAGATGATTCTAAGGTAAATCATACTGGAGCAAGCACTGAACCTTGAGGAACTCCATGACTAACTTTGGTGTGTGATGAAGATTCATTTACATTTACAATGTGGAATCTATCAGATAAATATGAGTTAAAACAATTTAGAGCCGTTCCTGTAATTCCATATCATATTCAAGTCTCTGTAATAGAATATTATGACCAACTGTATCAAATGCAGCGCTGAGGTCTAACAGGACCAGTGTAGACACCTGTCCATTGTCAGAAGCCATGAGAATATCATTAGTAACTTTCACCAATGCAGATTAAGTGCTGTGGTGAGCTCTAAAACCTGACTGAAACTCTTCAAACAGATTATTTCTCTGCAGATGATCACGTAACTGACCAGCAACTATTTTCTCTAGAATTTTTGTGATGAAAGTTAGGTTAGCTATAGCTGATGTTGGAGAACATAAAGACCTGGAACATGTCAGACAATCAGTCAATCAATCATTCAACTTTATTTACACCCATAAGTAGATTTGATTACAGTGGAGTGAGATGACTTAAAAACAAGACATGTGACACAGACTGAGAATGTTTTATTCATGTTTTATTGAGTCTCTTAACTTTCACTTTCATCTGTTGGTTTGGACTTTTGACATGCAAAAACAGGAACAAACTCTTGGGATTGTCAGGATGTGCAGCAAAACTGCTGGCATAGCCTTACAGAAGCTCACTGACCTACACAAGGCGAGGTCAGTGAACAAGGCTGATTCTGGCAGATCCTGATCACCCACTCCATGACAAGTTCAGGTTGCTTCGTACTGGACACAGGTATCTGCCGCCCAGATGTAGGACGAACAGACTGAAAAACTCATACATCCCTGTAGTGATCAGGCTTCTCAACGAACAATGATTTCTGTACTGTTATTTTAACGTTTCAATGTCTTGTCTAGTATGGATGTTTTGTGTGTCTGACTGAAACAAATTGTCCCTTGGGGATAATAAAGATTCTTGAACTTGAACAGACACAACATGATTAAAGTGACCAGGAGCTCAATACTTGAATATCAATACAACTTGTTTACGTGCTCAGTTTCACAGAAAGCTGTAATATGGTGTGGTAGTTGAAGAGCTACATCCCGAACTTAATACAATGAGTTACGCGTTGCCCTGTGTTTTTCTTAAAACTATGGCATTACCTCGTAGTGTCAACCTTGTTTGTCTGTTAGCAAAACATCTCATGAACTACTGCACAGATTCTAATAAAACTCAAAGTGATTCTTAGACATCTATCACTGATTCTATTTTGGTGTCACACTAGCTCAAGGTGGCTTCCACAGCAGTTTTAGAAAGCACAGCTATAACGCAAGTAATTTGACAGATACTGAGCTGAGACTTAGTATGATAGGAGCTGAGACTGTCAGTTGGTCAGATGATGTTTGGACCCAAAATGCCGACTGGACGCGAGGATTTCGATTAAACATACTTTTTTTTTGTTAGACTAACAAAAACAAAAAGCTGGCATGGCAGCTCAACTTGGAAAAAAATACTCAAAGATGCTCAGAGAGAAAACACAAGTAGGATCAAGATGGCACATACCATGCTGAGAGACTGTATATAAAGAGCAGGGGAGATTGGGGAAATGGAGGCACCTGGGTGATTACTAAGTGGGCACAGGTGAGCAGAAGACTGACTGAAGAAACAGTGAGGAGGCTGACTGAGAACCAGCAAAGGAAACACAGGAAGCTGAACAAAACACAAGAAAGAAAACAAATAACTCTATTAAAACACAGAAGACTTATCTTGACAAAGACTAGTCATATGGCATGCACTGAGAGCAAACACAGCACAGTGTTGCATGACCAAACATCACGTTCAAGGTTGGACCAAAACTCTCAGCAAAAGACAATTTTAGTCTAAAGCTCTGTCATGATAGGCAGCAGGTGACATACAGTCCTTCCAGGAGTTTCCATTCTGTACTTTTATTTGTGGTTTATTAAATAAAACCCATAACATTATATACTTGAAACAAAAGTATCTTTCCTTGAAAGACTCAGTATCACCTTTCATGCCAAAGTAAAAAAAAAAAAAAAAGATCTTGCGCAATCATTTAACTCGTGACTCTTTGCAGTTCTCACACCAGATTTTAGCTCAGTAACGTTAAAACTGAATGAGTCCGTCATTTTTGAGTTTGCAAACGTCAAATAGCAGTGGTGGCCATTTTGAATCAGCTTGACTCTAAAGGTTAATCAGCTGTAGATGTGAATTTGAAGATGACTTTCTGAAAATGTTGTTAAATCATGAGATATTTTGCTAAATGCAAAACAAATCCACTCTGTTGATTACCTGAAAGACATGCAGCACAGTTCGACCTTGGGTCGAAGCCTCAGCTCAAAGCGAACACACAAACTTGTGTGTTTCTGCCCAAGAAAATGTGTTCAGTTTTGTGCAGCATAGCTTTTGTGAGGGACTTAACAAATTTTACATAAGAACTTAATTTGGTATTTCTAATTTCTCCAGGATGTGTAAGAGAACAATCAGACACAAAGATAAGATATTCTGACATCAGAAGAACTGATCTTTTATCGGTGTGGGTGATGGAAAGAGATTGTCACGATTAGTCTGAGGTAATTTTCAATAAATTCAAGTTTTCTTGGTGTAGCATTAAGTGTAGAACCACTAGATTGAGGAACAGCTTCTATCCTGAAGCTGTTAAGACTCATGAATCCCTAATCAGGATTATCACTGTGAGAAGAAAAAAAAATCACTGTAATGCCATTTAATTGTTGATATGTGCTGCTGACTATCCGTGATGCTGATCTCATGCTGCTGATTTTTTTTCATCTCCCTGTGTTCATTTGTGCTCATCAGCTCACACAGACTCATGTTCATGCTGCTGTTGTTCAGCGTATTGTTTTTATACTATTAGTGCTTAGTGTATTCTTAGTTTAGCATTTTCATTACTTCATATCTTAGATCTTATTACTGCTTTTCTTTACATTTTATACTTTTGTTGGATGTAACTGAGACCCTGTGTACCACATGTGGTGCGAATGACAAATAAAGAAAATTTGACTTTGACTTTTCACTAACTTTTAGTGTGTGTTCTTTTTAATGGATATTTTGTTGTTGCTGTTTTACAGAGTGAAGAAGCCAGGTTCCCACCTGTGGCTGAAAATACACCTACTTATCATCCTGCTGGCAGGTAAGCTGTGACATCAGCTCTGACCCATCAGCCCTACAAAAAGATTGTTGGCACACAATGAAGGCAGAGCATCAACCAGCCTCATCTGGTCTGACGGCTTTACGCCTTCATTTCTGAACGACAAATTCCTTTCTGATTTGTGCTTGAACTTGTCGGTCTGGTCTGATTGCAGTTTGTCTTGAAGTCTGCTTCAACACCAGCTATTAATCTTTCAGTCTTTGAGGAGTCAAGTGTTTTAACCTTTGTTTTGTACAGCGTGTGCTGCTTGAGTTGCATTGTTTGAGTGACAGAATGCGACAGATGGCTGAGGTTCAGAGAGAAATTTAGAAAGATGAGATCAGAAGATGTGTTTGTATCACACTGAGGACTGATTCATTTCTTTGTTCAGGTCAAGCTTTTGGTCCTAACTCCACTGTCGCTTCCAAAGTCACCACTCCAACAACAGCTGCAGCACAGACCACAGGTGAATAAAACTCAAAAACAGCACAGAAAATCAAAGGAAACAAAGAAAACCAGACATTCTAAAATGGGCTTGGACTTTTGTTTCAATGCAAACAGTGTGGCCCTAAAATATTTCACGTTCTACTCTTTTCATTTCACATCATGTCATGAAAAACAAGACACTCCACCATCATTTGCTCTTAGTGTTTTATGTTTCAGGACATAAAGTCGACCTGGTCTTCACCAGGTTTAAAAATTATTCAGATCCATCTTCGTGTGCACAAAAAAACTCATAACAGATTCTAACATGTCATTTATTAAACGTAAATAAAGCCAACACACAAAATCTGCATGAAAAAAACAAGGACAGGTGTGAACACCTCTGTGAGAGCAGGACTTTAGTCCATTTTTGATGCTCTGGAACATTCATTTGTGTGTTCACACAACGCCAAGGTGAAAAGACATTAGCAATGACCTTAGAAAAATAACTGTTGCCTTCCATCAGTCCATCCATCCATCCATCCATCCATTTTCTTCCGCTTATCCGGGGTCGGGTCGCGGGGTAGCAGCTTAAGTAGGGAGGCCCAGACTTCCCTCTCCCCATCCACGTGGTCCAGCTCCTCTGGGGAAATCCAGAGGTGTTCCCAGGCCAGCCGAGAAACATAGTCCTTTCAGTGTGTCCTGGGTCTTCCTCTGGGTCTCCTCCCGGTGGGATGTGTCCGGAACACCTTACCAGGGAGGCGTCCAGGAGGCATCCTAACCAGATGCCCGAGCCACCTCAACTGGCTCCGCTCAATGTGGAGAAGCAGCGGCTCTACTCTGAGTCCCTCCCAGATGACCGAGCTTCTCACCCTATCTCTCAGGGAGAGCCCAGACACCCTGCGGAGAAAACTCATTTCGGCTGCTTGTATCCGAGATCTCGTTCTTTCGGTCACAACCCAAAGCTCATGACCATAGATGAGGGTAGGAACGTATATTGATCGGTAAATTGAGAGCTTCGCCTTTTGACTCAGCTCTCTCTTCACCACAACAGACCTGTACAGCGCCCGCTTCACTGCAGATGCTGCACCTATCTGCTTGTCGATTTCACGTTCCATTTTTCCTTCATTTATGAACAAGACCCCAAGATACTTGAATTTCTCCACTTGGGACAGGACCTCCTCCCTGACCTGGAGAGGGCACTCTACCCTTTTCCGGCTCAAGACCATGGCCTCGGATTTAGAGGAACTGATCTTCATCCCGGCTGTGTCACACTCGGTTGCGAACCGCTCCAGTGAAAACTGTAGATCACGATCTGATGAAGCCAATAGGACCACATCATCTGCAAAAAGCAGAGGCACGATCCTAAGGCCACCAAAACGGATCATTTCAACACCTTGGCTGTGCCTAGAAATTCTGTCCATAAAAGTTATGAACAGAAGCTGTGACAAAGAGCAACCTTGGCGGAGTCTGACTCTCACCTGGGCATGAGCCCGTCTTAATGTCGGCAATGCGGACCAGGCTCTGACACCGGTCATACAGGGACCTAACAGCCCATATCAAATGGCCTGGTAACCCATACAAAGCACCCCCCACAGGGTTCCCCGAGGGACGCAGTCGAACACCTTCTCCAAATCCACAAAGCAAATAAAGACTGGTTGGGCAAACTCCCACGCACCCTCCAGGACCTGCTGAGAGTGTAGAGCTGGTCCAGTGTTCCACGACCAGGACGAAAACCGCACTGCTCCTCCTGAATCCAAGGTTCGACTATCCGATGGACCCTCCTCTCCAGAACCCCCGAATAGACCTTTCCAGGGAGGCTTAAGAGTGTGATCCCCCTGTAGTTGGAACACACTCTACGGTCCCCCTTTTTGAATAGGAGGACCACCACCCCAGTCTGCTAATCCAGGGGAACTTCCCCCGATGTCCACGCAATATTGCAGAGTCGCGTAAGCCAACACAACCCTACAACATCCAGAGCCTTAAGGAATTCCGGGCGAATCTCATCCACCCCTGGGGCCCTGCCACCAAAGAGCTTTTTAACCACCTCGGTGACCTCAGCACCAGAGATTGGAGGGCCTGACCCAGAGTCCCCAGGCTCCGCTTCCTCAGTGGAAGAAGTGCTGGTGAAATTGAGGAGGTCTTCAAAATATTCTGCCCACCGACCCACGACATCCCGAGTTGAGGTCAGCAGCACACCACTCCTACTATAAACAGTGTTTGTGGTGTACCGCTTTCCCCCCCGAGACGCAGGATGGTGGAACAGAATCGTCTCGAAGTCGTGCGGAAGTCTTTCTCCATGGCCTCTCCGAACTCCTCCCATGCCTGAGTTTTTGCCTCAGCGACCACCCGAGCCGCATGTCGCTTGGACTGCCAATACCCATCAGCTGCTTCCGGGGTCCCACAGGCCAAAAAGGCCCAATAGGATTCCTTCTTCAGCCCGACAGCATCCCTCACCGCCGGTGTCCACTACCGGGTTCGAGGATTGCCACCGCAACAGGCACCGACAACCTTGCGGCTGTAAGCCGCCTCGATAGTAGAGGCACAGAACATGGCCCACTCGGACTCAATGTCCCCCATCTTCCCCAGAACATGTTTGAAGTTCTCTCGGAGGTGGGAGTTAAAGCTCAGTCTCACAGGAGACTCTGCCAGACGTTCCCAGCAAACCCTCACAATACGTTTGGGCCTGCCAGGTCTGACCGGCATCCTCCCCCACCATTAGAGCCAACTCACCACCAGGTAGTGATCAGTGGACAGCTCCACCCCTCTCTTCACCCGAGTGACCAAGACATGTGGCCGTAGATCAGAAGAGACGACGACAAAGTCGATCATCGAACAGCTGCCTATGGTGTACTGGTGCCAAGAGCACATATGGACACCCTTATGCTTGAACATGGTGTTTGTTATGGACAATCCATGACGAGCACAGAAGTCCAACAACAGAACACCACTCGAGTTCAGATCGGGGGGGGGCGTTTCTCCCAACCACACCCCTCCAGGTCTCACTGTCATTGCCCACGTGAGCATTGAAGTCCCCCAGCAGAACAAGGGAGTCCCCAGGAGGTGCACTTTCCAGTACCCCCTCCAAGGACTCCAAAAAGGGCAGATAATCTGAACTGCCATTTGGTGCACAGACACAAACGACAGTCAGAACCCGTCCCCCCACATGTAGGCGGAGGGAGGCCACCCTCTCATTCACCGGGGTGAACCCCAACACACAGGCACCAAGATGGGGGGCAATAAATATGCCCACTCCTGCTCGGCGCCTCTCACCAGGGGCAACTCCAGAGTGTAAGAGTGTCCAGCCCCTCTCAAGGAAACTGGTTCCAGAGCCCGAGCCATGCGTAGAGGTGAGTCTGACTATTTCTAACCGGAACCTCTCAGCCTCACACACCAGCTCAGGCTCCTTCCCCACCAGTGAGGTGACATTCCACGTCCCAGTAGCCAGCTTCTGTAGCTGAGGATCAGACCGCCAGGGTCCCTGCCCTTGGCCACCACCCGTCCCACATTGCACCCGACCCCTTTGGCCCCTCCCACAGGTGGTGAGCCCATGGGAAGGAGGACCCACGTCTCCTCTTCGGGCTGTGTCCGGCCGAGCTCCATGGGTAAAAGCCCGGCCACCAGGCGCTCGCCTGCGTGCCCCACCTCCAGGCCTGGCTCCAGAGTGGGGCCCTGGTGACCCACGTCCGGGTGAGGGAATATCAAGTCCATTTCTTTTTCTCATCATAGGGGTGTTTGGGCTGCACTTTGTCTGGTCCCTCACCTAGGACCTGTCTGCCTTAGGTGACCCTACTAGGGGTGTGAAGCCCCTGACAGCATAGCTCTTAGGATCATCGGGACACTCAAACCCCTCCACCACGGTAAGGTGGCAGCCCAGGGAGGGGATGGGGTTTCCATCAGTCTGGGAAGGATATAAATTCCTGCCTTCTGCGATTTCACCACCTCGTCAAGTGTCCCACACCGCCTACATTGACTGATGAAAACTATTTAAAAAAATTTACGTTTTTGCTAAATATTTGCTGGCCATCTGTCCAACAGCTGAAAACTGACCAAAATGTGTTCATGAAACAGGACAATGATTCCAAACCCAGCTGCAAATCTACAAAAAGAACAGCTGAATTTTGTAAAACATTAGAACTAAAAAAAAAACAACTTGTTTTACCTTTACTGAACATAAAATATGCATGCTAGTGTTGTTCAATATCATTTGCTGCTTTTTGCCACAACATTTAGATAAATGTGTTCACTAAAATTAGTTTTCATTTTTAAAATAAAGTTCTATTTTCTACATTCAATATGTTACATTAAGTTGCTTCGTGCATGTTAAAGACCACGGTAGTAGAAGTCAGTTGTAGCTGTAACATCTAAGCTGCATTATGAAACCCTCCAGCCAGGTTGAACAAACAGTATAACTAAAACCATAAAAACCTCAAACTGTAACAGGTCACATGAAAACTGCTTGATTTCTCTTTTCAGGTGGAGTTTTCAGTCGTCTCAGTTCTACTGCTGCTTCCAACATGAGCACTCTGACAAGTGTCCCTTCCAGCACTACTTCTACATCATCTGATGACATCACCACTCCAACACCAGGTGTTGTTTCCAACATCGCCACTCCAACAGGT